GTGCACATGACCTTGGCAATGTTAACGAAGAGGGTGCCATAAATATATCCATTGAACGTAAAATAGTGCATGAGCAATATAATGAGCGTTATGTTGTTAATGATATAGGATTGGTTAAGTTGCGCGCAGCAGCGCCAAATACAGGTAAGGGAATACTTCACTTATTTACATGTTAGACTGTCTCACGCCCTGTAGACAGATATAGAAAAGCGGTTAATCTTTCCCAAGCGAATTTCAAAATCTGAGAAGTTTCAGCTGCATTGCCAGAAAAACGTTCGGATACTAAGTATATGTAAGGAACTTCTTAATATGCATTGTGTTCTTCCATAGATTTTGTTGTAAAAAATTTTAGGCAGAAAACTTATAAAGCCAACAATTTATATCATCTAAAAAAAATAATCAGATAGAAATAACGCCAATAGTGACCAGATCACGATAGACCACGAGCTAAGCTAAATTGTTTTAAGAAAAAGACAAAACTGAGGATGGAAAGAAATAAGGTTCCTATGATACCTTGAATACGGAATTGAGTCCAGACGTGCGTAAAATTTTGAAATTTTAATGAAAAGTGCATTAAAAACGGCCGCAAAAGATGACTTACTTATGTATATTGGTCTATCGAAAAAAATATTTCACTTTAGAAGAGGGTTTCAGATAAAAACTTTTATGAAGGAAAACGCAATATTTAGAGTTACATATTTCCAAGAGGCCCAACGCTGGAATTACACAAAATTTTGATAAAACTTTTTTGTGCGTGCTATTAAAAGCACATCGAAGTTTATGATTCGCTTGGATAAGCAACCATATTTTTTTTCTTTTAGTGTGGCAACCTAATATACATAGCTGCGTTCCATAGTAAGATAAAAATATAAAACATTTACCTATTTTTTATTTATTTTCACAGCATATATTGGCCCTATTTGCTTGCCTGATGGAGAACGCTTCGAACAGAATTTTGTGGGCATGAACCCATTTGTTGCTGGCTGGGGTGCAGTTAAGTTTCAGGGTCCAAGTTCAAATGTTTTGCGTGACGTTCAAGTGCCCATTGTGAACCAGCAGTCTTGTGAACAGTCCTATAGTTCTGTGTTTCAGCATATTGCATTTACTGATAGGGTGAGTTTAACAAATAGATGCTAGATAAAAGCATTTGCTCTTCTTTTCCGCTTTAAATAAAATAGGCCAGTTCGCTGAACGCACTGGAGAGTACTCTAGTGCAGCAAAAAGCGTTCGATCAGAGTTTTCCTTGCACCAAAGGAATGTATTTTTGTGCGCTAATTGTCAGACGTTGTCCAGCGCTGCACTGTTCTACATTGTTAGTGCACTCATCGAACAGACCTATTATGTCTAATACATATATATGTACAGGGGTGGGCGATCGCAATGTTACGAATTAAAAATGTTAAAATTTTTTTTTCAACGTCTTTTTTTCAAACGTCATTTCATCATACAAATTTTAATAAAAGTGTATTACGGTTCGAAGTAGCCATCATTAGCGCGGATAATAGCATCGAGTCTGTTCGGGAATCTTTCGCAGGCTGCACAAATGTGGTGTAGTGGTATTTTGTCCCAGTGGCAGCAGAAAGAGGGCGTTGACTCTCTCATAAGTATTTGTTAGTTGATGCTTTCTCCTCGAGAATGACTTTTTAAATCCGGTGAATATGGTGGCCATTGTAGCAAAGAAATTAAGCTGGGAAGTTTTTTTTTTTCTAAAAAACGCTGGATTTCGCGAACTTTACGCGATAATTCTGAGTCTTATTGAAACAGCCAATGATTTCTACCGAATTGTTTTCATGCTCAAGGTTACAAAGGTGATTACATCGAACAGTAATACACTTTATAACCGACTTCACAAAAAGGAGAAGGTTATGAATTCGTANTGCTCAAGGTTACAAAGGTGATTACATCGAACAGTAATACACTTTATAACCGACTTCACAAAAAGGAGAAGGTTATGAATTCGTAGGAATATTTTTTTTTTTGTTTTTATGTATGTTACCGCATAACTTTGGACCACGTTAACCGATTTCTATAATTATTTTTTTATATGGTGTTACCTCACAATTGGTCTGATTCTAATTTGGTTTAAATCCAATCATTGGATCATGAAACGATTAACGATAATTTTAAATTTTTATATGAGAATTGAAGTCTGTTTTGTTTTTTGCTTAAAAATTACTTGTTTCTTTTTTTTAATTTGAGCTGTTTTTATGATGAACGATGTTAAAAAAAATAGACAAAATTATACATAGCATTTTTAATTGGTAGCACTTCGAGTGCCTATCCCTGTATTTCGACGGCTGAGTGTAAGATCGACCTATCTCAGCAGCCGGTCAAGAATGCCCTATCTCAGAATTTGGAAATATGAGCAGAAAAGCGTGTTATTTATATGTACGCGGCGTATGAGTAACATTCTTTCGTGCTCAATTTTCATACAAATAATCTTGCGCATTTTTATTTGACCACTCATTATTTCGTATTTATTCATCGATTTTCTTCATCAGTAACTTGATTTTTTTTTTGTAACAGAACAGGCTTTAGTAAAAATGCAAAAATTTGGCACATAACCTGTAATTTTTTAAATTTTTCTTCTGTTAAAGTTTGATTTTTTTTTTAAATTTTTTCATTAAAAAATAAGTAAAGCTGGAATGATTAATTAATTTGTCAGAAACTATAAGCCCTATCGGAAAGTGATGTACATATATACGGTTTATGGAGAATTTCATTGGCTTTCATTTGCCGTTACTTATATTAAGATTTTTAAATTGGTTCGTAAGATATACGTGATTAAACGGAATCAGTTTTTGATTTAACCTGAATAACGGTAAATTACAAATATCTCGAAAATGTATCCATAGAAAAAAATTTTGTTTTACTGTAAACCAGTGTTATTAGTTGCTCATGTACGCCCTTTCTAGTGAACACATTGCTCGCATAGGCGGAGAGCGTGCATGGTGTTGCTGTAAGTAATAAACAGAAATGATTTAACAAACATATTTTTTTAGAAATATTTTCTTCAATAAATGCAGTTTTCGAAAATATAAACGAAATGGAAAACACTCGTTGAGAACATATTTTTAATGCAACTTGGATATTTATAATGTTTTAATTAAAAAAAAAAAATCTAATTATAAAATTTTGTTTTTAAACTCACTTCGCTTACAAAAAAAAATTTCATCAACTTTCGTCAAATACTTAAAGAGAAAATGAGCTTTGAATAAAAGATTGCTTAAAAATGTAATTGCTATAAAAACTTTAAAAACTTAACACCCAAATTCATAGAACATAAAGAAGTCTTTAACTGCTTTATAAATCGAAAATTTGTAAAAAAATATCACTCTCTCTATAAATCTACTTTATTTTTTATGAATAAGACCATAAAATTCCTTCGTCAACTAAATTCTGAGATGGGGCTTTTTCGAACCGTCTGCCGAGATAGGTCGATGAATCGCTTTTTTTAATATCGTTTAATACGTTTTTCCTCTAATTCAGTTCATCTGCGCTGGCAATTCTTATGTGGATGCTTGTCAGGGGGATTCCGGTGGGCCACTGATGATGCCGATGGTAATTATAAACATTTCATTTCAAGTTTATTTTTATTTTATTTTTTTAAATCGTGTTGCTTGTTAGACACCAAGGCATGTATGTGTTAGTGATTCACTTGCTTGAAAGTTCATTGCTATTACCAAATTTTATTAGTGTTTTATTCGAAAGTAATTTATTTTTTTAGTCATTGTCGTATTCAATTTTATCTTTTCAATAAATATCCATACATACATACATACATATGATAAGTACTTGCTGTTTGATTCGCTCTCATTTCCCACAACTTAGCTGGAGAATGGCGCTTATCATTATTACATACTTGGCTTGGTTTCTTACGGTTATGAATGCGCTCGGGCTGGATTTCCTGGAGTTTACACACGTGTGGCTTCCTATTTACCGTGGATTCGTAGTCACATGACTTAACGATGAGTAAAATTGGTATTAATGCGTTTAATGTAAAAAAAATATTTTGAAAATTTCTGTATGTAATAAAAATCTGTTTTTAAGTAGAAGTTTTATCACATTTTGTCTTTATATTAAGAGATGGATTCCTCTTAGATTCATAACAAATAAAGTAGCTTTTGTTGTTAAAATAAAACGTTAATTATGTCTACAAATGTTTATTGTTTATTGCTCTAATAAAATTTGTGTTTATGTAAAATGAGAAGTAGTAAATAATATATGTAGAAAAGGTTTAGAACAGTTGACTTGTTTTCTGAGTATCGTGTCTTGAAGAAAGACGTCAGCAAGGCTATCCGGATCTAAAAAATGAAATATTGCGAAAACAGGGTTAGTGTTGCAGTGGTTTCAAAGTAAACCTGGCAACGGGTGCGTGAAATAGGAATTCTTAAAGTTCATTCTGCCAAAAATCTTCCCGTATATAACACACGCACTGAACACAATCCTCACCACGTCGGAATTTCCTAGCTACTGGAATAAAGTCAAAATAATATCCGTACAGAAGTCAAATGGCGAACATACACCGATAGTGATCCTACCGTTTCTTTCGAAGGTCCTTGAGAACTTTATGTACAAACAAATTAATGCATTTCTGAGCAAATATTCTCTTATTAGTGAGTACCAGTTTGACTTCAGGTCGAAGCGATGTTGTACCACAGCACTACTTCCTTACTCTTCTAGACCACTCGAAAGCATTTGATAGTGTAGACCATCGCTTAATGTGTCTAAAACTCAAACATTTGTTCAATTTTTCGTCTCCAGCGCTAAAGCTAGTTAACTCGTATCTTTCTGTCTTTCTGACAGATCTCAAGCTGTATGCATGGGTAATTCTTCGTCTTGTTTTGTGTCCGTAATTAAATGTGTGCTCCAGGGTTCCGTCCTTGGCTCTCTGTTATTTGTTCTATATGTCAATGATCTACCTAAACTTATTAAGCATTGTAACATTCACGTGTATGCTGACGATGTCCAAGTGTATCTAAGCTGTCCACGATTTACGTCTTATCAGCGAGTGGGCTAGTCACAATGGTTTTGTTTTAAATCCCAGCAAGTCCCAGTGTATTGCAAATTATAAAAAATACTTTAAACTCGACACATACGACAAACTTACATTGAATAGCTCTGTAATACGCTACGTTGACTCAGCAAGAAACCCTTGGCGTTGTTTTCAACAGAGCCCTAAGCTGGAATAACTACATTTTTCTTGCAATTGGCAAGGTTTATGGAATGCTAAGTTCCCTCTGGACCACAAAATCTTTTACCCCCAGTAAGAATTCGTCTCATCCATGCCAAAAGCTACTTATTGCCGACTCTTTTACGGTTCTGAATTATTTGCTGGTTGTGACAGTGTGTGTAAGAAAAAACTTACCCACTGGGAAAATAGGTAAGCACCTTCCGAGGTAAGCCATGTTTTCTTTCAGTTCTTAGTACCAAAATTGTCATCATGGCTAATGTCATCTACTAGTAAAGGGCAAAATGAACACCTCCGAAGACACATTACGTTGTCAGTTGCAAAATAACGTGCAGCCGAAGTTATTTCCAAGCACCGAACTACTCCGAGCGACTGCTCTGCATTACACGTAACTTACTTTGTATAGCGGCTCAGAAGTATGTCTGATACCAAATGTACATTCTAAATTCCTACTTACATAAGGCGGCCATGCCTTTGTAAAAGTAAGGGACGTTCGGCAGGGAAATGGTAATGACTGCCAGGTGAAGAGTAAGTTGCTAATAAGGTATTATTACGTGCTCCTAATTCCCACTGGGTAACGTATTGTACACGAATATTGCAAGGTATATATACGGCATAAAACAATGTGTCCACATCTCTTATTTGGCCTTTAAAGTTTCGTCCATATCATTTGAAAATCTTTTAAATCTAAAGTGTCTTACAATGCTGCAAAAAATCTTGATTACAAATGAGCTCAATTACCTTAAAAAGCTATAACTAAAATTAGAGTCGACTATGAATATGCCAAAACTAAGTATCGAAAGGTAAAATAATGAAAGTCTTTATATAAATACATTTTATAAACCAGAGTTGGGCAAAGTGGCTCCCAGGAGCCTTTTTCATTTAGGAGCCGGCTTGGCACATTTAGGTGCTCGATGAAGGGTGATACCAAGAGCCATTACTAATAAATATAATGCTTTTAATGTTTATTTTTAAGGTGACAGGTAATAAGATCAACGGAAATAAGGTCAATTGACTTTATTTCCCACCCTGGTGCGAAATAAGTCAATTGACATTATTACCTTTTTAAAAACGAAATAAAATCAATTGACATTATTTCTCTTTCAAACATTAAATTTGCTTAACTTCGCGGCGGCCCGCGTCAGCGCGCCACACCGCGCCCCGCGTACCCCGCGCGCACACCACGTCATGCTACGCCGCGGCCCCCCGGCCCCCTCCCCGTCTCCCGACGTGCTGTAGCGCAGGTAGATTTATTTTGTGTATACGTTGAAATAAAATTTTTATATATTTTAAACATCGAGGGCTTATATTCAATAATAACCCCTATCTGTTCACTTTTCACAAAGATGAGATTCTTATAGAAAAATCCACATAAGCTTTAACTGTCATCAGTGATATTAATGCTACCTT